AATAAAATTTTATGAATCTTAAGATTTTCAATAATTTTACTAATTAAAATATAGAAAATCTAATGATTCTCAAATTCCTACTAATTAATTCTATTTTGATGCTCTAAATAAATTTGTGCTACATATAAAAATACATTATGCCGGCATATTAATTTTATATTTCTTAAATTTTAAAAAAATGATGCTAAATTTTATTTTTTTTGATCAAAAAATCCAAAATTTGGCATCATTTTTGAAAAATTAATAAATATATACTATAAATATGCCAATATAATGTAATTTTATATGTAGAATCAGATTACTTAGTATACAAAAATAGAATTATTTAGTAAAATATTGAGTATTATAAGATTTCTATATTTTTATTAATAAAATTATTGAAAATTTTAAAATTCTTAAAATTTTATTAATTAATTCTATTTCTATATACTAAATAATCTGATTCTAGACATAAATTTATATTAGAAATATATAATAATATTTTATATTTAATACTTTTAAACAAAATATACCAAATTTTACTAAATTTTACTAAATTTTAATAAATTTTACTAAATTTTACTAAATTTTCTATAATTTAACTTTATTACTAATTAAATAACTAAAATCTATGATTTAAAACACTTAGAACCTAGCCCTGAAGCTTCACAAAAGCCTAATAGCTAGAAAATTAGTAAATTTAAAATTAAAAATACTTAGAACAAACTCTAAAGCATCACCTGAGTCTGAAAGCTATAAAACTATTAATTAACTATTATATTATTAATTGAAATTAATAATTACAGAATCTAAGATTTAAAATACTTATAACCTAACCCTGGAGTATCACCCAGACCTAAGAGCTAGAAAACTATAAATTAATTATTACATTATTTGTTAAATAGTATTTGAGATTTAAAACACTTAGGACCTAGCTCTGGAGCATCGCCTAGATCTGAAAGCTAAAAAATTAGTAAATTTGAGATTTAAAACACTTAGGACCTAGCCTTGGAGCATCGCCTAGGCCTGAGAGCTAGAAATATATAAATCAAATATTTAAAACACTTAGGACCTAGCCCTGGAGCATCGCCCAGGCCTGAGAGCTAGTCTTTCCTCTACTAAAATGTGATTATTTGGCATGCTTTTTTTTACTATGTTTTTTTTTAACTGAGATCCCTTAAAGTACTCTGCTTACACAGATTAATTTAAGGGATCTCTGTTATTATATAACATAACAGTTATCCACCTGCCTGTTTAACAACAGTTACTCCACCCACCCACCCTTTCAACAACAATTACTCCACCCATCCTTTTAACAACAATTACTCCACCCGCCTTTTCAACAACAATTACTCCACCTGCCCTTTCAACAACAATTACTTTACCAACCCACCTGCCCTTTCAACAACAATTACTCCATCCAATCTTTCGCCCTTTCAATAGCACCCACCCTTCAACAACAATTACAACACCCACCCACCTTTTCAACAACACCCACCCGCTCTTTTAACAACAATTACTCCACCTACCCATCCGCCCTTTCAACAACAATTACCCCCACCCAACCTTTCGCTCTTTTAACAACACCCACCCTTTCAACAACAATTACAACACCCACTCACCTTTTCAACAACACTCACCCTTTCAACAACAGTTACGCCACCCAACCATCTGCCCTTAATATTCTAAACGTTCTATTATTAGCATAATAAAAAAATTTATATATAATAAAAAAATTATATATAAAAATATACATTATATATATGTATATCTGAATAATAATATGTAATTATTAATGGTACATTGCCTAAGTCCAGATCACATGACCTGTCTAATGATGGTGATACGAATTAAACTTAGTTTCTTTTTGAAAGTCTTGAGTTAGCATTGCAAAAGTATAAACACAAAAATAAATAAATAAAAAAAATATTAAAATAAAAAATAAAACTAAAAAAATAAATAATAAAAATATAAAATTAATAAAAATAATAAATAAAAATAAAAAAGATGTAAAAATTAAATTAAAAAAATTGGGACACATTAAGAACAGTTAACCCAGTGATCTATGATCACAAAATGATGTCATTTGTTTACCAAAATTAAACAGACTTGACTAAACTATATTCTCTAAACTAACCCTAACTCAGGCCAAATGATTGGCATGTGATATTGCAATGATTGCTGGGTTAACTCTTCTTAAAATTTCCCAAAAAATTAATAAAAAGATAATAAAAATGCAAAACAATTAAAAAATTAAAATAATTAAAATAAAAAATAAAAATACAAAACAAATAAAAAATAAAAAAATAAAAAAAAATACAAAAAATTAAAATTATAAAAATAAAAAAAACAAAAAAAGGACCAATTCTGTAACTCTCTCCATAGATCACTTATACCAAAATTTTACTAAAAACATTTAATTATTTCTCAATATT